AGAGAAGACGAGGTCAACTGTGGCTGTAGCCTAGTACTTGATGACGCACCGCCCTTTTGCTTGTGCATTGACGTCATCAGTCTGTCAAACGTTGATGATGCTCCCATCGTTATCCCATCTGACATAGGCCTGGTCGGCGAGGCAGAAGATGCCTCCCTGCTCATGTCGTTCCTTGGGCACGGTGTGAAGTTCACATCCGGATGGGTTATCTCCGGGTAGTCATCACTGGAAGTCAAACCTACAGTTGGTAGTGACGCCATGCGTTCGTCGTACAAGGACTTCCAACTCTTCTTGGCCTTCGAGAACGTCTGCTCTTCACCCGGACTCATACTCGACATCATCGCGTTGTTACTCTGTTTGGCCAAGGATGAGTGTGCACTTGTCAGATGTGAAGGTTCCTTTCTCCATTTATAGCTCTTAGTCTCTGATTTGGACATTCCCCTGTACAACACTTCCTCCCGAGGTTCGACCTCGGAACGCTCCGAGGTCTCCTCTGTCCTCTCGACTTCCTCTCGTTCGAGGACCCCGTCTGGCTCAAAGTCGGGTCGAATGAGCGTTCGCTCCCCTTCGTCAAAGGGATCCACCGGCGTTTCGCTCGCAGGCTCGGCCTCGGCGCTCCGCCCTTGATTGCCATCAAGGTTTTTCTCGCTCCTTAGTCTCATTTCGATCACTGAAAGATCAGGTTGACCTTTAGTCGATTCGTCTTCAGCAAACGCGTCGGAAGCGCTGCTAAACGAGGTTTGGCTACGCCTAGTTCTAAATTTCCGCGTGCTTCCCTTGCTTAGCCTGGGAATTTTAGTAGTCGATCCTAACGAGTCCCTGCGCTGCATAGTTTTGTACAAAATGAAAGTATTCGTAATTTGATGGCAATGCAAACGTACCACAAACAAGATTTAGTTAAATCACTTAACGCTGCCTACTCGATTCCGTCAGTATCAAAATGTCTCTTAGATCTCTCACGACTAAATTAGTGACTCAGCTAAAGTTACACACAGGGTCTACCCAGTATTGATATAATGCTAACTCAACCCGGTTGTATAGTATAACAGTATCACTAAGTTTCCACAAGATATAATCGACACACAAAACACAATCGATAATCAGATAAGAATATCCTACAGGTGACAGCGACCTTTTGTCAGTATCAATTTATCGCCACACAATTTATCAAGTCACTACTTTGTTAAAATTAAACAATCTTCGATAAAAAGCAGTGATGATTCAGAAATAGATAAATAAAACTTAGTCTTAAAGAAAAAGACTTCCCCCAATCGGAACGATCCGAAAGAACGAAGCCCAGGACACAGTCTTCTCAAGTGGGTGTGTATTTGCCTAATACACCCACCGAGGTCTTCTTTTAGGTGTCCTGCGATTGCCCGAGCTGTCCTACTAAGTAGCTCAAGGCAACCTCTTGGTCGAAAATTCGTCAAATCTATGAAAAAGCTCTCCCACACTCGGACTGCTCCAAGTGCACGAGAGTAGGGAACAATTCTTCTTCTCAAGTGGGTGTGTATTTGCTTAATACACCCACCGAGGTCTTCCTTTATTTGTTCCCGGATTGCCCGAACTTTCCTATTAAGTAGCTCAAGGCAACCACTCAACCAAAATCACAATCAAAAAAAAAAAATCTTGTTCGGGTACTTCTAATACACCCAATATAGAATCCAAAGTTGATCACGAATTTCCGGGTCAGAATGGGTTCTTATGACCCTGATAAGCACGCCTAATATCCTAATATGATCCTAATTAAATGGATATTTTCCGTTTCCCAAATTGCCACAGAAGGTTTACTCAAGTCTCTTACAAGGAGGGTCGCTAGAAGGTTTAAGACACTCCGGAGGGTTACCTCGGAGGGTACCTCAATCACTCAAGTTACTTAGGAGGGTATCTTAATCACCCAAGTTACTTCGGAGGGTCCCCCTAAATTTACTAAGGAGGGTCAATAAGATGCTTAATACGCTCCGGAGGGTCACTTCGGAGGGTACCTCCAAAATTTTCAAATTTTCTGTTCTCACTTGGAAGGTTCTCCTACTAGCTTCAAAAAGCGTCAAAATAAGCTAGGAGTTCTAGGGGGAGCTGTTTCAACTTCTTAGGGTGATCTCGTGGAAATTTTCCACTAAGGAGGGTTGCTAAAGGGCTTAGCTGACTCCGGAGGGTCACTTCGGAGGGTTCCCCCAAAATCAAGAAAAAGGGTTAAATCACCGCAGTAAAGCCTCTGAAAGCGGTCTACCTGACTTAAAACTAGGTTGGCTGACACGGTCAACCTTCCCAGTTGAATAAAAAGATGTTTTGATAAAATTTTCTGCCGCTCGGAGGGTTGCCCGTTACTTGGACCCTCCGAACCAACAAATTCTAAAAAATTTTTCTTTTCCGAAATAATCAACCCAAAAACGGTTGCGATTCGGAAAAGTGGTCAAAAACGTCGACTTATGGTACCAAAATTATCCCGATCGGATAACTAGTCTTTGAGAAATCGCCAAAAACGCGTTCGTCAAAATGGCCTTTTTCACCACCTGTATAGGATCTGAAAGACTTTTTTCGCAATTCCGGTCGAAAGTGCCTAAAAATACTTGAAATGAGCGTAGTAGCCCTGTACGGCACTGGAATAATGCAAAAAACCGGACCAAAATTGGTTTAGAAACAAAAATTTGGCCAAAAACTATCAAATTTGGACCCTCCGATTCCTTCCTTTTCCAAACCTTAAGTCGTTAGCTCTATCCACGGAGCTACTCGGAGGGTTACCCAAAAATTTCTCTAGTAACCGAGCACGTTATGCTAGCACGCTCCTAACGCAAAAATTTTATTGCTCTAACTCTAAAAACTCAAAAACTCGATCCCCAAAACAGATTGACAAAATACAGAAAATTATCTAAATTTTGGTCGAAAAATTCTCGTTTTTCTAACTTCCACTGAATCTTTGCTCACGCGGTTTCTTTAATAAAGGGGATCGAACTACGTGGCTACTCTCTATATAAAAGCTTTTTGCCTATCGGAAAAGCTCGGATATCCGAAAATTTGGGGGTCTACAGTTTGGTCGAAAATTGGTAATTTTCGACAAAAAATGGGTGTTTCTTGGGTCGAAATAGGAGATAAGTAATATATAGTAAGGACAATAATCTATAAATAGTCGTTAATAAATAGTACTATACCCTCCTTTGCACCAAAATATTCGAATTAAGACCCTTAACTCGGAAATTTGTAATCGATGGAGGGTACAATCGGACCGCGCCAATCGTGCCCCCCACCACTTAAGTTTTAAGGAAATAGTACCCGAACGATACTAAAATTGCTTCAACGATACCCAACAGTCGTTGCGGATGTTGTCCTTGATGTCCCTGTTGAGTGTGGAACACGTTGATCAGCCTGCCACTCTACCCTCCGGTCACCGGCAAAATCACCATTAACGTGCTTAAACACTCAAATTACACTCGAGGGAGGGTACCCAACCCTTCACCAAAACACACAATCTCTCTATCAGAAACGATATAAATCAATCTGAAACAACAACAAATAGGAAGGTCAGATCACATCTCGTCCGGAAATAACATATAAACTGTCACTTTATGTTTTTTACTGTTTTTGGTCTTTTTTGGATTTTTTTTTACTGTTTTTTGTACTTTTTTGTTTTTAAATAAATTTATTTTTGGCTTTTTCTTGGTTATACACTATTTTTGTTTGGTTTTACGCTTTCTCTTTAATTGTTTCTGGTCCTGGGACCTCAGGACAAGCGGGCTCTAGATTTCCCACCTATCCCTCCGGCCCCCGGAATTTTCGGTGTTAACTAAGTTAAAAAGCTAAATTGCACTAGACGGAGGGTACGCACCTTCCCCCTAGTACAATAACGGTCATTAAGGCCTCTAACTCGGGCATACGCCCGGAGCGGAGGGTACGTCGCTGAAACGCTTGCTGATCATGATGGTTTCATGCCTTTAACAGGCCCACCCAGGAGCGCCATAAAAACGTCTATGTAACATTCGCCCAAATATCACACAGCGACGGAGCGTAGAAAAAGTACCTATCAACGACTGGCAGGCGTCAGTTACCTTAATTCTACTCGTTTTTCACCGTCTCGACCTTGCCAGTTGATTTTCTGGTCTGTTTAGGGCAAAGTAAAAAGTTACCAATTTTAGGCCATCAGTCAAACGACTTTTGATCAGCTTTCGTTTGCATGCGAACACAACCACATAGCTGAGTCTCGGATCCTCAGACTACGTGATTGTCATTAAAAACACGGCTCGAACAACCTATTTTTATATGTTTTTGTGTGACAGTTTTATATTAAATCCATTGGAGATGGATTGACCCTTTCCTTTTTCTATCTACTCATGCTCTGAAATATTAAATAATAACGGTGTTTATTAAGATCCAGGACATTACAGCAGCTGTTATAGTTAGTTTACCCAGTCCCTTCACATATAACAGTCTCTGGGGGACCAAGCCTCCGCTCCCGTGATTTTCTTGAGATAACACTCTTATCTCCTATATTTCGTGTCCCGGGAGGGTTCCGTGGTATTTCTCTTCCCCCCACTGAAGCCTCCGTCTCCACAAATATCTGTCACTAAGGTCCTTATCGTGTGTTATTGCCACGATAAGAGGCTCCGTGTTTTTCTGTCTCTGATACAACCGTTCTTCACAATTTCTATCGTTGTTCTGATTTTCGTCTTTTTTATTCAAAATGGCCGTCTTTTTTCTATTTCTCAGAAATGTTCTTCTTCCGATCGAAATTTTAAAAATAAAAATTCTAGAACATTCTGACCCTCCGTCGCAACACTTTTCTGTTCATAAGGCCTTTAGTCACTTTTATTTCTGTCGCGGGAAGGTTATGCTGTGTCATCTGGCAGAATGGCACAGTGCATAAAACTTCTTATGATTTTTACATCCCCTTAAGGTACTTCAAGTAGATTTAAAACGGTTAACTCATCGAAAACGCGTGGCCCTTCTTCCTAACGAGTACCCACACTACTTCATGAAGCATTTTGAAGACAATCGATAATCTTTTCAGATAACCACTGGAGCGTCGTTTATGATGCTAACTGATGGCGTAAACTCGAAAAAGGAAGAGCTCAATTTGTTGTCTCCAGTTGAAGTCGGCCAGGATGCTCTTGACCTACAATCACAACAGTATCAGTCCACAACTTGGTAAATCAATTTTTCTTCTTTGTTCAAAGAAAGGCTCGAAATTGGAACCGGATTTTCTGGTTTTGACTGATCAGATGAATTGTATTCAAAAAATTTTGTTTTTTTTTTGCCTTGACGAACGAGCTCGTTAGAGTCTCATCCAGTCGATCCCGTAGATCAATTTTAAATTGAAGCGTTGGACAGTTAAACCCGCGCTGTTGATTTGTGAAAAATTTGGATTACGAACTGCTATGTTGCTTTTAATCTATGGCTATTGCAACCCGGATGAACTGTTTTTTTTTAATGGGTGAAATTTTCGTAGTTCACGTGGCGTTTTATTAAGGGCAGTGTAGATTTTAAGTGTCTCCTAACAACATGAGTGGTTAGATTCAACTCTTTCGATCAAGAAGTATTATTTCTTATTGCAGTAAAAGTTTGTTTTGATACATCCTGATTAATGCAATAATTTTGGGAGCCGATTAACTGTTTGCTATGACAAGAAAATGGTAGCTGAAAGATCAATGCATTCAATTTTGAATACAGCTTTGAGTTTCACGCTTTCATAAGTTTTTCACAAAAGGCTTATTGTCTTACTTTGTGGAACTTCAAAATCAGAGTTATATAGAGAGTTGGCCAAGAATAGTAGCAATTTGATTACACTTGTAATAAAAAGTATTAATAAGATTACTTTGTAAGCATAGCAAGTGGCAGCTACTTGTTTTTAAAGGTAAGGTACATGTTTTGACGACAAAGTTTTGGGGTTTAAATGTGGGCGTGTACTTTTTGCAAACTGAAAATTTTCCGCTTAAAAAATAATTTATCGAACTATCGATTGCCTGTTTAATTTTTTTCATCTTATTTGCCACAATGTGGACTTTACTTATGGGAGTCCGTCCTTAAATTGCCTTCCAATGGTACCGAAAATTAAAATGCAAGAAGTTTCGCTAATTTTTATTTGAGATTTGAAAAAAGGCTTTCTAGTTTGTCTTTTTTCTTTTGATTCATAGATGTTGATTGAAAAACATTCAGTATATCTCTTGAAAAACAAAACGATTGTGCTTTGTTTAGGCTGCACAAAATGTGTCAGTTTTGCCACATTGTTGAACGCCCGATCAGTGAAAAAGTAAAACGGTATTGCGAAAAGGATGATCGCCCTTGGTCACCTAAACCCGGATATCTGTAAGGTTATAGAAACGTCGTTGAACACTTATATCAGCGACTTGTCCATGAATATCGATGGATGATACAGCCTCTATCAAAATTACAGAAACTATCGAGACAAACTCAAAGTATAGTCGGAGGTGGTGTTTGCATTTTTGTAAGGAAGCATATACAAGCTGAATTGCTTTATAGTTTTCCAAAAGTGGACCCAACTATCGCAGAGTCACTTTGGTTAAAAACTAAATTCATGGACAAGATCATCCTTGCTGGCTGTTTATAGTACCCAATAGACTCAAAGACCGATGAGCTTCTAGCAAATTTTTTTTAAATTTCAAACCGGTGAGAAACTGCTCTGAGATCATCCAATGATCCCTATTCTTATTGCCGATGTTTTCAACGAAAATTTATTGAAAAATTTTCAGACTTAGAACTACTACAAAACGGTCCGTACGAGTGATCCAACACGCTGAACAAAAAAAGACTCTGTACGAAAAACCAGAAGTGATCAGCACGCATGGCAACCGACCATCCTGCAGTTTCCTTTAACTAGAACTGCTGCTAAATAAAAGGGAGTATAAATCGTACAGATTAATAAGTTTTCAGAACAGACTCAACCTTGGCATCACGTTAGATAATATAAGTTACGGAAGTCATTGAAGAACAGAGTCTGGACTCGTCTGTAGATAACCTCCAAAGACTTCATCCAATTGCTGAATAAAATATGCCCTCTCAAAACAGGTTTAGGTCAGCAATAGAGACCCAACATTCATCTGCCAAAAAAGTATACAGCTAAGAAAAAGGGCCGAAATGTAAATCGCAAACAGAGATCCGTTGCGAAATTAAAGCAAATCTGACAAAAGTTGAAAAGGATCTGTCAAGTGGTGGAAAAAAGTGAACATGATGTGAAAAGCGTAAACAATAGTTGCGAAAACTACTCATGATGCAAACCACCTAAATATATTCTTCACCTCAAAACCGACTACCACATCAAGCCAGCTTTAGCAGACATCACTTGGGCTGATTTAACTCAAGTTGCCATCGAGCAAATGTTCAATGAACTGGAAAGGATAACAGAAACTGTAATAGGCCTTGATGGCATACAGTGCTGGGTCTAGACAGAAAATTTCCACCTCTTGCTGAACCTTTGGCGAAAATCATGAACCAGTTTCTCTTTATGCGTCTGATACGAAAAAGTTATAAACTGTCAAAATTAATTCCTATATCATAATTCAGAAATCCAAAAACTGCAAGCGACTACGGGCCAATCTCAATTACAACAATTTTAACAAGGGTCTTTGAACGAGGATTGAAAAATTACCTCAGAAAAAGCTACCACAGATGGCTAACTTGAAATCAGCATGGGCTCAGATACGAAAGCTCAAAAATAATGGCGGTTGTCGCTCATCAAAATCATATTGACAATTACAAGGGAAAAAATGGTTAAGTGAGATAACTATCTGTTGTCTTGCGCAATGCTCTTTGTAGGGTCAAACATAACATATGCATACAAAAAGTTGTGCTAAATGAACCCACTATAAACCCATATGTAATCAAATGGAATGCAGTTTTCTATCTGAAAAACAAGTTTTTACAATCTAACATCAAATCAGCAGCAACAAAGTTAACAGGAAAACCCCAGGGATCGGTCTTGGGTCCCATGTTGTTCAACATCGCAATCTATAATCTAGGTACACCAGATCCCGAAATTCAGAGAACCAAGTTCGCAATTGACAGCAACATAATCAAACCTGGTACTGAAGAAGGCAATAGTTGGAACCAAGAAGAAGAAGAAGTTCTTTCTCCAAAATTATGTTGAAACTACAATCATCAATTTATTTTCAACTAGTTACAAACAATTGATATCAAACCATTCAACTCAGTACATGAAATTGGAAAGGGAAGACGAAAGGCGCATTCAAGTGTAGTGTGACGCAGAAAAGGTGAACATCTGTTTCATTTCTGAGAATCAAATTTTATGCTTCTTTCCTGTGTTTCAGCCTGATTCAGCCGAAAGAGAGTCCATTAGCTGAACAAATTACTTCAGCTCCATTGGCAGAGAAACAGCAGCCAGCAGAAGGACGCCAACAATGGGACAACAAGTTTCAATACATGTTGGCCTGCGTTGCTTTCGCTGTTGGACTGGGAAACGTTTGGAGATTCCCATACTTGTGTCAGAAAAATGGAGGAGGTTATTTCTTTGTGCTTTATCGCTTACATATTTTGTTTTTTGAATTTTTTTTAGAAAAGTGTTTCAATTTGTTACCGCTTGTATGTTCACTCCCGCTCGCAATTTTTTGCGTAATAATTTTTGATTTTTTTGTGTGAATGCACGTAGTGAAAATACATATAGATCATGATGATTGTTTCAGGAAAAATCTTATTAAAATTTGTTCGTTCAAATAAGATTTTTCGCGGCTTGATTTTCTAAAAAATTTCAGCTCATTTCCTTTGTTAAGCGGAAAACAAACTTCACAATCGAACAGAAAAAGTGTAAAGGTCACGAGAAATGTGATCGAATTGTAGGTTCTAAATTGGATTTATATTTTAAGATTTCTCAGCGGAATAAAAAAAATGCCTATTGATCCAGTTTTCTCAAATTGGGCAATTTTATCAAAAAAGTGTCAATCATAAATTGTTCTCAAAGTTCAATGAGCCATATTTTTTTTCTGTGAAAATGTTGATTTTTTTTAAAATAAAAAAACGCGTCAATATTTTTTGTAATCTAGCGTTCATTGGCTGTTTTCCAACTGTCTCTTGGCGATGGTTTGTTTTTGGCAGTAAAAGATGAATGCAAATTTCAATGCCAAGAAAAATTTAATTTGAGTCTTCATAAATTGAAACTGCGCTTTATACGCGCTTCTGAACACATGAATTAGTTGCATGGGTTCCCGGTTTCAACCAATGGATACAGTAAAAATATTTATTTATTTCAGGAGCCTTTTTGATACCGTATACATTGATGCTGATCTTCGAGGGCATTCCGTTGTTCATCATTGAACTCTCGGTTGGACAGCGACTGCGAAAAGGACCCTTACAAGTGTGGTGGGAAATCAGCCCTTATTTGGCAGGTCTCGGCATCGCCTCTTGTATCGTGTCCTTCCTCTGTGCCGTGTACTACAACACTGTAGTGTCTTGGTGTATTCTTTACTTCTTTCGCAGCTTCTCCTACCCGTCGCCTTGGTCAACGTGTGATGAAAATATCAAAGAGTGTCAGGCAAGTATACACGCAAAAATACGACAACTCAAACAAAAAAAAACAAGTTTTTTTTTTAAGCAAAAGTTGAACAATTAAGTTGCGTACTTAATATTGAAACAAGCAAATCAAAATCTATATGACTCATACTTCGTTTCAATTGCCTTTCTTACGAGGAGTAGCATTAGGACTTTGAATGCCTGTCGACGATTTTTGGTTCATGATTAGGTCTCTTCGCCTACTTCCTTCTACTGGTACAGAGAGACCCTCAATATTGCAGACAGTTTGGAGGAGCCTTTCTCCTATGAGTGGAAAGTTGGCCTGGCTCTAGTCGTCACATGGACCATAGTCCTCCTCGCCACCATCAAGGGCATCAAGAGCTCAGGAAAAGTTAGTTTTTCCACCCATTATCTTGCTATATACTCATTTCTGACTCCTTTTTAAAGCCATATAATCTCCTTCATTGGCCTTTGTTGTTGACTTAGATTTTTGTTGACTGTATTTGAGATAGGAATCGAGAGTATTTTTATAATGTAATTTCAAACGATAGTGTACCAATAACACTTTCAAGACGAAGCACTTGAAAATTCTATTCCTTGTATTCTATTTCTCCTTCAATTTGGACGTAGTGGCGCGCGCAAGAGTTTTTGGCGGTTGTTATGGATTTTGGAAACTTAAGTCTATCTCTTTTGGTTCAGGCATTTCGGTTTTTTGAGCTCCGTCGAAGCTGAAAAGCGGCCATTTTATTCAAAGCATTTTAAAAAAATTGCCGTGCGTTTTTTTTACTTGCTTTCCTCATGAAAATTTTTGTGGATTGGCTTCAAAGGTGCCTTGAGAAAAATTTTTGATTGATCGGCCAAAAATCGATGTCGTTAATAGCACTCGCTCGAAGAATTCCGCAATCAAAATTTTCCCAATCTTACCACCTTGTTGGCACTAATTCGAAGTGGTGGTAACTCTTTTGATTTCAGGTCATTTACTTCACGGCCTTATTTCCTTACGTGGTGTTGACGATCTTCCTCATACGGGCTCTCCTCCTCCCTAATATGTCAGACGGACTTGTGCACCTCTTCAAACCAGATGTAAGTGGCGTTGATTTAGAAAACTAAAATTTAATATTTAATCATCTGCATGCATTAAATGACATGCATACGAGCTGGTCAGTAGCTTAGAAGACTAGATGCAATTTTTGATCAGGGGTATGCGTGACATGAAGCATCGGCCAGAGCTCATTGACGGTCTCAAACTAGCCTCGACCTTACATAAACCTTATTTTGATGCTGCAACCAGTGATTTTACAAGGATTGTTATGAATAGCAAATATGTCTTGATTATGTTAATAAGTCCGTGGAAAAATTCAAATTGGGGTATCTGGACCTCGAGTCAGTAACTCCTAGATTGAAAATCGAAGGAGCTAGCGATTACATTTTCTACGAATGCTCAAAACTTCCGTATTACCCTTTTGTTACTTCTGTATTATCTCAAAACTTCCGTATCTCTGATCTTAGTTTGAACTGTTTTGTTTTTTTGATCAATTTACTGGGCCACATTTTGAACAAACTAAACTTCAAAAAATCTGAAATGTTTCAACTTTTTCAATAGTTTTTGAAAAAAACCTCTTAGATTAGAAGATAAAATTGTTTCAATAATGGTTTCAGGAAGTTAAACAAAGTTAAAATTAAAGAACTGTTTCAGGAAAAATATAAAAGAAAAAAGATCGATTTATGTAAATAGAAGCCAATTACTTCTGCAAACAAGAGTTATGTTATTGTTCCGACTTTCGATACCAAATTAACGGAATATTTGTGCTCGGGTGGGTTTTTTTTTCTTCGGACAAATTTCGACTTTTTAACTAGCCATTTTTGACGAGATTTTTTATATAATTCAAAAGGTATTGTTGTCCTGAGCTTAAATTTGAAAAGATATTTTACCGTTGATCATTTTTTGTAAAGTTATGGGGGTTTAAAAGATCGCCATTTGGGACAATTAACGCGTGATATATTTCGAGCTATTAACGTGTAAGCGGAGATTTGATCCGTCTGAGGAATCGTCCCAAATTTCAGTTTACCCCACGTTGTGCGGCTTTCGAAAGTTTGAGTAGATAGATGTTTGACCAATTTGTTTTCATTGTCTCAAATATTAAATGCACAAAACTGAGATGACAAATTATAGTTATCTCCTCTTCTCAAGTGGCTATTCCTTAAATTCGGTAGAAAAAAATTAAGGCCCCAGACCAGTACATTATTAAACTTTTTGACTTTTCTCAAAAACTACCCTGCCGAATCGGAGATAGTGTTTAACCGAAAGAAAAAAATCAGTTGTGCGAATTTTACTTGCGCAAGCAGGTATGCCCTGCTTTTTTCAAAGAAAGTAACCAATTTTTGAACAATGAAAAATTGTTTTTTTTTCTTCAAAAACTGAACTCTTGATTCTGAGGTTGATAGTTCATTCAAACTAACATGATGCCTAGATTTTCCCTGTGTAATCTTTTTACCCCTACTTTTTAGTAGAAAAGCCGCTGTAATTTTCGGGAAAGTCCATTTAAAAAAAAAATTTTTTTACCGTTTTGTTTTTAGAGATTTTATCATTTTCTCGATAACTACTGCCTAAATCTGATATTAAGAGTTAAGTCTAAAAATCAGGGCGCCGAAGTCTTCCCTGTGTAAGAGTCTATGCCCATGCTTTAGTATAGAAAAGTTAATGAATTTAGGAAAAATCTAATTTTTGAATTTTGGATCATTTTTTTGGATTTTTTTTCGAAAACTACCCAGCTAATTCTGAGATAAAGACTTCAAGTGAAAGACCGAGAAAAAATTTTTCTCCTTCAAATAAGCGGCTAATCCTCTATCTAAGTAGAGAAATCACTAGGGTTTTGCGTAAAGTCCATTGTTTTGAAAATTGATCATTTCCGTATCAGTACAGGATGTGATTGAAAATATAAAAGCAGGTGGATCCAGCATTAGCTGGACCATTAGTTTGCTTCCAAGTGAACGTGGCGCAGATGCGAGGACGTGAGAATCCTCATCAACAGGTCGGAGATTCAAATCTGGAACATTTTCTTAGGTAGAGTTTTTGCTGCGTATCCTTGGCAATTTGATAGAAACTGTAGATGCTTTATTCGTGGCTAGTGTTAAAAAAATGGCAAGCGCTTGTGGAGCAGACGTGAGAACGTGATAATCCCAGTCTCAATTTTTTTTCTCATGGTGCTTTTGTAATCTTTTCTCTATTTCACTTTGTTTTGCCTGTTTAGAGCCCCTTTTTTGCGTTTTCCTCGCTTGTGTTTACGAAGCGCAGCTTCGCCTCTGTGTAACATAATCTCAACTGATTTTTTGGGCAAAATTCACGGGTTCTGTGTCACAAGGAGATCTTAAGATTGTCGCTTTGTTAGTTTTAGTGGAGAAACAGCCATTTGCAGTGTTTTTTTTTTGTTCAGTCGTTGCCAACTAGCTTTGGTTAACTTGGCGACATTAGATAGAATTGGCATGTGATTTGATGAGCCCATTAAGCCCCAGGGAATCAACAACCCAGATTAAATGGAGCCTAAATGATGGAATATAGATAGTCTCATTTTCAAAAGACTTTCACTATTTTTTTAAAACTTTTTTCTACCATAATTTAGTAGTTGTGTTATTAGTATGGCGCTGTTCAGTTTGCTTCCCAATTTTAGCACTGGATTGCTTCGGACGGATACGTAGTGTAATACAATAATTTAGACGTCTGAATTGGTATTCCGTTTTGCGTCATAGCACACAGCTATGGGCTAAAAACAACTGAGAAAAAGGAACAGCGACAGTACCAACAAGGCATAAATGATTAGCTTAGAGATGTACCGGTCAGTTTATCGATGGGGCAAAGCGACGAAAATGAAAAAGGCGAGTTAGCAAAAAAAGGAATCAGATTTTCATTTATGAATGATCTGTTAAAAAATGATCAGATAGGTTTATTGTTTGACAACATATTCTGTAAAATCGGTTGTGAAAGTAATGATACTACTCGTTGAATATAATGCGGCTAGCTTATGACTTCTATTCTGATTGACGCCATATGGAGGTAATATCGGTTGAAAACGGTCGATTAGTTAGTTGGTTGGTGCCTGTGTTTAGCCTTCGGTGCTTTTCCTGCGTTCTTCAGATGGAAGTGGAGGCAAGGATAAAGGCCGAGTGGTAGATAGTTATCTATATATCGACATGCCAGCAGCCAGTTAAATTTACAGTTCGAAAAACATGTTGACATGCGCAGTTTCTCCATTTAATGAGTAATTCAAGCGAATCTATATGTGAGCATAATTAAGAGGAGCTTGCATGTCGACATCGGTAAAAAAAATGTGTAATTTTTTGCAGTGACGCAATCAAAATTAGCTGGTCCTTAAGGTGGTTTTCCAAGTACCTATAGAGAGAATACAATATAAACAGTATATAGTGCGTGAGCTTTGAATGCTTTGCGCACCTTCATTTTGCGTCAACTAGAAGTAGAAATTCGGTTGAGCTTTCCATTTTGTGTCCCCATGCGCGAAGAGGAAATTAATTATGCAAATCAGAGAGACCTCTCACTGATGCTTATTCACTTGCAGGGTCCCAAGAGCGCGTGACCATCTCCTCGTGTAATTTGAGATATGAGACCAAAGTAAATTTTATCTCATTTCCTTAAGATTGCTCTAAAAGTTTAGAGACACTTTTTGATGTTTGCTGAGTAATTGCTGTCAGCAAATTTGTTGAAAAGAAAAACTGAATTATCTTTTTGTCGTGATAAAAGATTACAAAAGAAAAAATGTAATTTACATCATCGTTATAATAAAAAAAGAGAAGCCGTTTGCTGCGCCGAATGTTCAAATCACAGTTATAAAATAAATGTAGGAAAAAATTTTAACAACTGATTTTTAATTTTTTTTGGACAATTTTCTGGTAGCAAAAATGACTGACTTCAAATAAAGCTCCAAAGAAGGAAAATGCAGCTTTGACAGTTCTAAGTTTTTGAAGACGATTTATCCACTAAGAAAGGCGCAGCATAAGAGCTGTATAGCTCATCACAAAGAACCGCTGCTGCGCCGCTGTTACAAATAACATGCTACTTTCGAGCTATTTTTCTGATCTGAGCAATGCTGCCTCACCTGCAACGAACAAGCATGGAACATCCGACCTTTCGATTGAGAGGTGGGACGCAATCTTTTGACCACCGCTCCCCTCAGTCGAATAAATTTTTCCAAGTAATGTACGACCAATTATGAAAGCGAAAACTAGTTGAAAGGGAACTCCCGAGGTTAACTCTTTTAAAGTTAGTTAGTAATATTCACCATTTTTATATATTTACCCTTGTGATTAGCGTAGTGTATTAGTACGAACCTTTTGTTTTTTCTAACGTAACTTTCAAATAAAAATGTTCATTTTAAATAAGTGTTCCAATTAAGTGTTCACTTATATGGAAATTTCACTGTAGCATTGAAAATTGCAAAGTATTCGTTTTCTGCTTTATTTGTGGCTAATGTTTGTGATGTATTAAGCGTTCGTCGCGTCATAATCTCTAGGTCTCAGTTGGTCGTAGATCGAATCCGAGACGTAGCCGAATTTTTACTAATTCGAGGCTCATTTTTACTTTATTCTTTTTGCACTTTATAGAGATGCTTTTTGTCGTGTTCTCGCTAGTGTTTGCGATGCGAAGCTTCGCTTCTGTGTTACGCTTGCGATTGGCAAGTGTAATCAAACCGGAATATAGACTTTTTTGTCGGGTTAACAACTTGTTCAACAGAATCTTTTGGTATCTTGGGTCAAAATGAATTCAAATTTCTAGGCGTCGCCAGCACATTTAGTCTGGCGGTAACTAATACGCCTGGGACAGCAGAGGTATTTTCTGCATATGCAGTTTTCCTTGTAGTTAACTGTTATGTTTACATCTACCGCTGCAGTTTGTAATTCTACCTTGACTTCATATATTTTCCTTTTTTTGGGGTTTTTTCGCTTGATTTTTTTTCGGCCTAGATTATTTCGGCTTATATTTTATCGGCTTACTAGCCTAATTTTAGGTAGTTTCGAGGGAACCATACTTTGTGTGCTTTTCTCCTGATCGCTGAAAACTTTAATCTCAGAATAGAATTTATAATTATTCGTGACAATAAATTTATTTTTTTATCAATAATTGTTTTCCATATTTCATTAAACGCTGTTGAATGTGTTTCGAGGGAAGCATAGTTTGTATGCTTTTTTTCCCAGATCGCGCAAAAAGTTAAAGTCTCAGAATAGAATTGATAGTGCGAAGGTTTTCATGACAACAATTTTAGTTTCGCTCTATACTTGTTTTTGATTTCTACGTAAACGCCGTCGAATGTGTTTTTGGGCGTGTTTTCCGCAAATAGAACAACATTCCAGACAACATTTAAAGATTTTTAGTTGTCTTTTCTAGGAAAATTTTCTCCCTTTTCATTGAAATTAGCTGCCTTCCTTTCCTGTCTGCTTGCTTGCTGTGCTTTTTTACGTGGTATCACAAGTGAAACACGGAATTTTGCGATGCTATTTTTATGCGGTATCGCAATTTTTATCAAATGGTACTTTCAGGTGGTATTTTATGCAATGCTATTTTGTCTGGTTTTGCAAGTTTGATGGGGCACGCAACTTAATTTCCCGAACCTGTTTTGTCTGATCTTCGCCTTATCAGCTGAAAAGAATCAAATTGCTTTCCTTTCACAAATAAATACCTCTTATATAGGTCTTGGTGATTTTTTATTTTTTCAGGAACAAGTCTCAATATGCTCTGTTTCATGCGTTTTCATGCATTTATGAATGGACTCAGGTATATAGTTTTTTTGTGAGTTTAATTCAATTTCATTTGTTAAAATGTAGGAAAAGTGGGTTGTCAAAGTTCGAAGACTTTTAAAGACAAATAGGTTTTCCTTTGAAATTCGAAAGTTGAGGTTTTTCACAAAATAAGTCCTAACTTTTTTCTTGCGTTCATTTACTTTTTCCAATTGTTTATTGGCCATTTTTCTTTTTGAAGCGTGTTGGATAATAGAGTGTTACTTTTGAAAATTTGCGAGATTATTTTTTTCGAAGAAGTAATTTTTCATAATCAGTTTTTTCTTTTTAGCGTTGTGCTTTATTGCGAATTTTCTTTTTTTTTCTAACCCAACTCGCTGATAAAAGTGCTCAGTTGTTGGCATTTTTGCTGCATATCCATTTCATAGGGGGTGTACCGGCTTGCATGTGTGCCGCTTAGCATGCCCAAGTAAAATAATTACTTACTTTGATGCGGCTTGCATCAGTTCGAGTTTTAGATGCAAATGTATTGTCATTGCGCTTATAGCCGCATGGTAAGCGACACGAGTGCTTGTAGCTCATTTCCTGTTTCATAGCATCAGAAATTTGATGGTATCTGCTTTATTAGTGGCCCGTGTTTGTCTATTATCAAATGAAAATGAGATTCCTGTGAGGACGTGAGACTCTTAATTGGTAGTCTTATAATTATGTTAGCTGCTTTATACCGTTTTCTCACTTTTGTTTTAGCATCTGTATTTGAGTTCTTGCAGCCGTGTGTAACTTTTCTCAACCTTAATAATTAACGTCGGAGATCAACGGCTTAAGGGTTGCTTATTGCACTTGCGAAGCCGTGTTTTAGTACGAACCTTCTTTTTTTTCCAAACTAAGTCGCAAATATTGGTGCCAATTTTGGGGCAACTTTACAGCTTTTTGATAGCATAATTTTGACATTCGAATAATAATAAGTTAACACAGTTGATGCATTTTTAATTCATTAAATGAACCGAAAAAAAATGATTTGTTTCAAACAACATAAAAACTCGATTTCAGAAATTTTCTAACTCAATATATCTCGCATTTTTTGAAATGCATAATTTCTTCATAAGGTGGCTTTATGTTTTCCGATTTGTTACATGCAAAGTTAGTGTGGATGCTTTCAGTTTGTTGTATTCCAAATTATTATTCGCAAAATTGTTCCGTTTTGTATTTGGTGCTACTTTTGCTGCATCGAATTGGCAATTTATTAGCATATGTAGCTTCGTTATTGGTGGCTAGTTTTTGGGGATTTTAAGCTTCCGTGGCTGAGTAGTTAGTGCGTGAGACTCAAATTTGCTTGGTAGCATCTTCGAATCCGACACGTAGCCGAGTTTTTGCTAATTCGAGGCGTATTTCGACTTTTTCTATTTTCATTTGATAGAGCTGCTTTTTGGTCGCGTTCTCGCAAGTGTTTCCGAAACGCAGCTTCGCCTCTGTGAAAAAATATAGATAAAAAGTTATGTAAACAGTTTCTTTCAGTTATCGCACCTGCTAAATGCGCGTGTGTGGCTAGACGCTGCTACCCAGATATTCTTCAGTCTGTCTCTGGCATTCGGAGGTCTGATTGCGATGAGCAGCTACATGCCAGAGAACAACAACTGCTACCAGGATGCAATTGTGGTTTCTCTCATTAACTGCTTCACCTCAATCTACGCTGCCATTGTCATTTTTGCCGTGATTGGTGCGTTTAGCTTCCACTTTCAAAATGCTGACCCATGTCTATCTATTTAGTGTGCGAATATCCAGCATTCTAGTTATAATGACCAGACCAAATCTTGTGAGAGTTTGTTTAAAAAACACATAAGGAAAAGTTGGTGCTCTATAGCGAGAATCTTAGTAGTTTAATTTTATCTGCGAATTCAATTATGTGCATTGTGTTCTACTTGAAATTTTCAAGTCTGCTGTAAAAAGTTTTTTTTTGTTTTTTTTTTCACGGATGTAGTAAAAACCGTCCCTTACGCCTCTCCACCTGCGGCATCTAGTGACGAGTATGTTCCACTGCCTATCAAGAGCTAATCCAACGAGTAGTATAATCGACATTGTAACATATTCCTTCTCTTAGAATAGGTGGGGTTGTAAAATTGATCCAAAGTCATATTTTTATGCCAGTAAATGTCGACCCCCTGAGCCTTATGCTATATCAGTTACGACGAAACAATCTCACTGAAAAATGATATATTCAGGGCGGATTTAGGGGGGGGGGAGTGGACGCCCCCCCCCCCCCCCCTCAGGGATTCGACCCCCTGCCGACCCAAAGGGTCCCCCCGTTGATACTTTTTCAGAAATCCCTTTTTGGCCGACCGACCCTAAAATTTTTCTAAAGGCGCCGTTGGCGCCAATATATACTAACTTTGAGGGGGAGCGCGCGCCAAAAAAACGCTATTTTTTTGTCAAAATTTTTCAAAAAGTGCCCAAAAACTGCTTTTTTTGACTGTTTTTTCAAAAATTTGCCTGCGGCGCAGAAAACTTTGCCAGTATAGGGGCAAAACAGTGCTTTGGGAGAGCTCGAAAAATCAATTCGGTCGACCTAAAAAAAAAAAGGTCGTCAAAATTTTTTGAAAATCCGCACCCCCCCCCCCCCCCCCCCCTCGAGAAAATCCTAGATCCGCCCCCTGGATATATTGTCGCGTTTAGAGCATCAATTTTCAATTTCTGTTCGAGGAAGGATTCCGTTTAATTTTTGCAACCTGTGAAATTTTTATATCAGCATCCTTCAATGTGCACAAAGTATTTTTTGGCATGAGTTAGTTGATGTAGTTTGACTCGTTTTAGTTTGTAAAAGCAGCTGCATTTTAGTTAGTCCTTCGAAAGCTTTCGTTCGACGAGGATCAGAAGACCAAAAGGTAGGAGCACTAACTGTTTGTCCTCTCCTGTCGTAACCTCATCTGTACTCTATGTTGGTTCATAGATCATCTGTATTTCTAACAACTGGGAATCCACATAACTTATATAATTGAAACAAAAATTTGACCTAGTTGCTTTACGGACCCATAAAACCACTCAGGTTTAATTCAGTTTCGCATCGATTTTGGTGTGCATTTTAGTACAGCGTTGTTTCAACAAAATAGATTAAGTGGTTGTTATTTCCTACTAAGCAAATTTTTTAATGAAACTATTAAAAGTAGGGATACCCGTCGTAACCGTTCATTGTGCAAGTTGCTCAGAAAGTTCCTACCACATTCATAAAAGAAGTTTATACGCGGGGTGACGAGAGGAAAGACAAAAGCTTAGACCTTCTGTAAATTCATTATAATCGCCTACGGTTGTCTTCAAAAAATGAAAATCAAAACTAAAACTGAAAGAAAAATTTTCGAAAACTTTTTCTAATTTTTGGCCTATTTGGCCCACCGCAACCGGCTATTGTTGCATCCTGTTTTATTATAAACGAAGCCAAAAATAGTGGACTAATTTATTTGGCGCTATATTTTTAACTGTTGACAGCAGCTTTGTTAATGCGATTAGAAAGCGGCATAAACTCAGACTGAGACTGCAGTGTGATGCAGTAATTTCGAATCCCGTTATTCTACAAATGTGCTTGTGATTCTTAATATTATACTAGAATCTAAAATCGTGTACATATATCTGTCTTTCCGAATGGGAGGGGTTTATCGCCTGCCTTCATGACTTTCCACCGCTTTCATCGAAGTACTTAATTTGTCAGAAAGATGCAATTTGTATGATCAATCAAATGGATATCTTTTTCAGGGTTCAAAGCCAACCAGGATCTGGACAACTGCATTGCATCAAATGTGGCATCCAACTCTACTGATCATTGTCGATTGGAGGACTTCCTCGCAAAGGCAATTAATTATTTGTTTATCTTAAAAGAGTACAGACAATAAAACAGTACTTCTCTGCAGAGACCAAAGAAAAACGGTATTTTTCAACTATAATTAAAATTCGATCTCTAGTTTATAAGCTTACCTACTCGGATTTTGTAAAACTATCTTTTCTTTTTTTTTGCTTAAATGGATTATGCTTATGCTCAATCGACTATATTTTGCGTCGTTTAAAATCCAAAAATAGAGTTTCATATAGCTCAAAAATTAGCTCAAAATGTTCTCTGACATCATTTCGTTTTCGGCTCAACTGGCGTTAACCTAGTATTGTCGGCTTAATTGCCGCTTTGTAAGTTATTTTGAATGCTTAACGGCAGTGATTGTGTTAGCTGCCAATGTTTCGAAATTCCACTTCGCTTCTAGGTTAAGGCTAATAAGGGCCACTGTCAATGATTATAAAACACGCAAAAACTTCTCTGAAGCATTAGTTTAGGCATGCTTTTTGCAAATTGGCCTGCTGTTCAGGAAATGGTTTAACATAAATGGTCTTAATAGTGTTTGAGGAGAGCTCAGAAAATGAAATCAATTTGGTCGATCTAATCTAAAAGGAGAAAAACCCCCTCTCTCTCCTTAAGTGAGAGTCATAAAATCAACAACCCCCCCCCCCCCCCCAGATAATCCTAAGATGGGCGCCTGCTTTAAAAAAGAATTAAAAGGGTGCTTGTTGGGAAAAGTTGGCCGCGAGAATAGAAGAAAGTGCTCTACCCTTTAACACAACTGATATCGGCGTATATGAATATTATGCTAGAAGAAGTCGTACGGATAGTCATAATCCCGTGTGTGTCTTGTACAGGGTGTGAGTGGGACTGGACTGACGTTCATCACCTTCACAGAGGCCATAGACCACTTTGGGTTCTTCTCACCCCTCTTCGCTGTCCTCTTCTTCCTCATGCTCATGTCCCTCGGCTTCGGTTCCCTCTTCGGAACTGTCCAAGGAGTGATCACTTCACTGCATGATGCGAAGTTCCTCCGAAACATGCCTAACGAGCTTATCACTGGTTAGATTCCAGTCTGGTTTTAAGCTGAAATTTAGATTTCGGCAAATTACAAATAAAGCTGAAGTCTTTGGAAACCAGCATGAAACGGGAAAATCTGAAATTTTTGGCTTTAATAGTTTTTTTTTAATTTTCGGCTTTAACGCTCACCGTTTTTTCCATTATTTTAATTGCAGTTTTTTTTGGTAAATTGTACAAAATTTTATTGGAAATTGGGTTTTGTATAACTTATCCAATATAAATACGTTTTCGAAGGTTTCCTGATTTTCTTAAATTTTTCAAAATACATTTTTTGTCAGTTTTGTCATTTGCTAGTTTGTGGCCGTTGTTCGTATATATTTTGAATTTATAGCGTGCGAGGAGATTAAAAACTATATTTTCATTGTGAAAACACAAAAATCTGCAATTTCGATTTTTAAATTTGATAATCATTTTTTTTTCTAAAAAATTTTTGTGACTGTTACGCATGAAAAGTTTCAAATATGGCGCCGCTTCAGATTTTTTAAGGTTCAAGATTCGATGAAAGTAGTTGAGACTTTTTTTAATAGGCCGTGATGTTGTAAATAGTCAAATTTTAGTTCATTTGTTTGGGTCCTGTGGTTGAAAAGTGTCAGTGAAGGAAGTGAAGACCCTTATTTTGGTAGTTTTTTTTTCAGAAAAACTTGCTGACGCTGATTTTTTTGAGTTGTGACTTTGGATTAAGAGTAATGAACTTAGTTTAGTGAGTACTCTTACTTATGTTTTGGTGATTTTTTCGTGTTTTTTTTCAGGAAAAACTTATTCTACATTTTTCGAGGGTTGACTTTTGTTTTTTTTCTTTCACTTCATTTCCTTTGTTAAAAGGAAGGCAAAACCCACCATTGAACAGCAAAAATGTGAAGTTCACAAAAAACACTATTGACTTCTTATTTCGAAAATGGAACTTAATTATCAGATTACCCTGCGAGATAAATTATTTAGGTGTTCATTCAGTTTTTTTTCAAATTGGGTTTCAACATATATTGTTCTTGAAAATCAAAGAGCTGTAAAGCTATATATTTTTTCTTTGAATTTGAAATTTTGGTTTTGCGTTTTCTGATTGATTTACCAGTTTATCTGAGTGTAGGTTTTGGAAATATTTTAAGAGTCAATGATTATAGTGAAGGCCGTACTATAGGTCGTGATGATTATGTTTTACTTTTTCTGGATTGTAGTGAAATTTGCATTCACTCAAATTTGATTTTTCGCGGCTTTGAACGTCCCAGCTTTTTCGCGGCTTCGAATGTCCCAGCTGAATTCGAAAAATTTCGAAGAGTTTTAATTTGGTGTTTTTCTTCAGCAGTTGAAAATTGTTGCAAAAAAGTTAGTTTTTTTTTGATTTCCTATAGTTTGTTGACAGTTCCAACTTTACAATGGCTTTTTTGTTGTTGTTGTTGTTGTATTTTTTGTCATTATTGTTGTTGTTGCTTTAGGAGTAGATGTCCAAACGAACTTTGGTTTAAACCCAGTACTCCACAATCTAATCTAAGATTATTGAGATTGGATTATGCTTTCGTCTATACTCTGCATTATTTTTCAGAACGGGTCGAGTGATAAATTATGTGAAACCTCTTCCAGTCGTGATTCCAACGACAAAAAAGTATCTGTCGAGAAAAACCGGTTTGAAGTTTTTGTTTTTTAAACTCATTTCGAGTAGCATTTGTTATATGAAGTCGGTTATTTTCAGTAGGAAAATTTTTAGTTTTAGCAAAAGATAATTAGTTTTTGAATATTCGTGTAGCGCTTCCCTGGCAAAGTAGTGTCTGAAACATAGAAAACAAAATGTACGAGCAGACGGTTCCATTTATTTTGTTTGTACGAGCAAAAATAAAACTAATTGAACCTTTTTTTTAAACTGTAGATCCGTCACTATTAAGAAACATTAATAATGTTTAGTGGTGTTATGTGTGTCGAGTTTGGTCTTGGCTCAATTGTTCGCCCTATCTTCTGGAGATTATCTTCTCCAAATATTTGACACGTGGGTTGGCACTGTGCCTCTTCTGGTGGTCGCTTTCTTCGAAGTGATTGCCATTTCATACTTCTACGGAGTCCGCAGGTACTATTGCCACAATGTAAAACTTAAAAAATCCAGGCACTTCAATTTACAGAAAAAAAGGCTGATTAGTTTTCGAGTTTTTGATTTTCAGCGATTGAAAAATTAATCAATCATCTTTAGGTATTTTAACATGCCTGAAATTAAATATCGAAAATTCGCGGATGCTTAGTGCTTTTTATGTAAATCTTGTGAGTAGAATAAGTCCTTCAAGGCTTCAATATATAGTTATGTCTAGGTTCTCAGAGGACATCTATCTGATGTGTGGGGAGAAGCCGAATATTCTGTTCATGCTGTGCTGGAAGTACATCTCGCCCTGTGTCATGACTGTCATTCTGCTGGGTTTCGTGTTCAATGTGTCCATGGATGGAGTCACCTACTTCAGATACGACAAGAACATCGTGAGTATTGGTGGGATTTAAATCAGTAACTTAGGGTTGGTCATACTTCAGATATAAATGTAAAAGTGTCTATTACGACTATCTCTCTTAATGCAACACTTTACGTCCGCAATTTTCTCGAAACAAAAAACTTACGCCTCGGTAATTTTTTTAAATGAAAATGGAAAGTATTTTGTATGAACCGATAAAAAATCTATCTATTATCTATCTTATCTATTGCTCTATGGAAGCCATATTTACACGATTTGTATACAGGTCAATGATTAACAAGCGTCAGGGACAATGTTTAAGCGAAAATCATGAATTTTGTAGAAGTTTTTTCAATCTAAAATCTAGATCTTTATTTAGGTCAAATATCTCGGTTGAGGCCAAATATCTCTATTTAGATCTTTATTAAGGCCAAATATCTAGACAGATTCTTGAAATTTTGAGAAATGTTCTGAAGAGACGATGAATATAGTTCCGACTATTATAATGGTTGCGATTGTTTTTATTTTTTCGATTTTTTCTGGAAGTCTTTAAAATTTGTTCTGGCTCTATTTTACTTTTTCGCGGTTTGACTTTTGATTATTCTTCAAGTTCAGTTCATTTCCTTTGTTAAAAGGAAGGTAAACTCAACTGCCGAATAGCAAAAATGTGATCAACTTATAGTTTCGAAAGTGAAATTTAGTTTTCAGATTTCTCAGCGAATTAAAAAATTAATCTATCAATCCTGTTTTTTTTTCAAGTTCAGTTAATTTTAGCAAAACAGTGTCAAGCGTAGATTGTTTTTAAAATTCAAAGGGATTTAAGGCCATCTCTTTTTTTCTTTGAATTCGAAAGTTGAGATTTTTTCAAAAAACCAGCTTTTTTGTTTGAATGTTGGCTGTGTTCAATTTCAAGATTCGAAAGACTAACGGCAACTTTCGAATTGACGAACCTGTAATGGGGTTGTGGCAGAATGCTCTCAGGGATTGCGATTGCAAATTTTGCCTCCAAATATGTCACGCAAATCATTTTTGCTTTCGAGATGTGACGTTTTCAATGATTTTTTTGAAAAAGTATAAAATTTGAAATTAGCAACGGTATAGTGTGGTGCTGTCAGGGTGCTTCCAGCGGTTGTAAATTTTGCCTCCAAATATGTCTTCAAATCTTTTTAGCTTCCGAGATTTTCAAAAAATTAAAATTTGAAACGCTTTTCAAAATTTGAAGATTTCAACCCCGTAAGTGGGTGCTGTCGTGATATTCTCAGGGGTTGTAAATCTTGCCTCCAAAATCTTTCTGCTCAAGCCCTTTTAGTTTCCAAAATATGATGTTTTTTTAATGATTTTTGAAATTATTTTCATCAAAGTTAGGTTGAAAAACGTTGCCAAAATTGAAGTTAGCTACTCTAAGCTGGATTCTGTCAGGTTAATTTTAGGGGTTGCAAGTCTTGCGTCGAAACGAAATGTCTGCTCAAATCCTTTTAGCTTCCAAGATTTGACGTTTTTTGGTTTTTTCTCTAAAAATTTCAAATGAAAAACCAAATTAAGTTTGAAATTAGCAACCTTCTGGCGGGATGCTATTAGGCTACCTTCAGGAATTTTGCCTCCAAATACCACTGCTCTGATCCATATAGTTTTCTAGATATGACGTTTTTATGAAGTGTTTTTTTTTAAATTAAATTAGATTTAAAAAACTTAACAAAATTCGGTATTAGAAACCCTTTGGTGGGGTTCTTCAGGGTTTTCTCAGTGGTTGCGAAATCGGCTTCCAAATATGGTTGATCAACACTATTAAGTTTTCTAGATATGACGTTTTTTGATTGTTTCGTTTAAAAAACTAATTTAGGTTTAAAAAACTTCACGAATTAAAACTTAGCAACTCTATGATGGGAAGCTGTCAGGGTACTTTAAGGGATTGCAAATCTTGTCACGAAACATGTATGCTTAAATCCGTGCAGATTCCGAGATATGATTTTTTAAAGTTTATATTCAAAATGCATAGATTGAAGGTAGTTATAAAGATTGAAGTAGATCGAAAATTTTAAAAAGCGTATGATTTTTTAAAGTTTATATTCAAAATGCATAGATTGAAGGTAGTTATAAAGATTGGAGTAGATCGAAAATTTTAAAAAGCGTAGTGTTTTTATAATTTCCCTCAAGCCGATTTTGCAACAATTGGTTTTTTGGCGATACTTTCCGGGTTCTCTCAGGGGTTGTGAAGTCGGCCTCGAAATGTGGCTGCTCAAAATTTTTTATCTTCCAAGATATGACGTTTTATATGATTTTTTGGAAACATTCCCAAAAGATATAGATGAAAAAAACTTAACGAAGTTTTAAATTAGCAACCCTATTGTTGGGTACTTCAGGGTTCGTCCATGTTTTGCTCAATTGGCCTGCAATAATTGCTGATCAAAACTTTTCAGCTTTCCAGATCTGACGTTTTTTTTTCATTTTTGGAAAAAGTTAAGGTTTAAAAAACTTGAAATTAACAACCCGTACGGGGTCGGGGTGTTGTCAGGCTTCTTCCAGGGGCTATGAAGTTAGCATCGAAATATGAATAGCCAAAGGCTTTTTGTTTGCGAGATCTGACAATTCCACTTAATGTTTAATAAACTTACAAAATTTAGATTTCGAAAATGTATCAAATTTGACACTCCCAACTGTTAATTTTTTCAACAATCTTAGTTTGCAAATTTTTAATAAAATTTCACATTTGCAACCCTATAGTGAGTGGCTGTCAGAGTAATCTCAGTTGTTTCAAATTTTGCCTTCAAATATGGTTCCAAACTTTAATCTTCCGAGATATGACGTTTTTTCAAGTTTTTATCGCTTTAAGAATTGAAGTTTTCACAAAACTTAGTTTTAAGAAACTGCACGAAGTTGAAAATTCCTACTTAATCGTGGGCTGTTATTAAGGCGCTTTCAGGGTCTACTTTTCAAACGCAACGCCAGTTTCTAAATGAAATGTTGCCCCTCAGGTCACCTTAGAATCATCATCGCTTTTTTATAAATCATCGCTTGAATTGCTTAATTAGATAAATTATCTTATTACCAATCCTTCTAGGGTAGAAAAATTTCAAAAGTTTTATAGTTTCAATGGCTTGCTGAGAAAAGTTTTGCGAACCGGTTCAGGTACAAGTATGATTGTTGGGTCCCTTAATTTTTGATAGGTCCCTGAATTTTAGGCCTTCAATTCTTCGAAAACATGGATCGTTTTTGTTGATTTCTGTTTCGGAATTTTTCACAAAGTTTGCGTGACCCATCTTTTATACTTGCTTTTTCCTGGGACCCAACTATCTTATTTGTACCCCGGTTCAAGCTAAAATACGACTCCATGTTTAAGAGTAATGAACGTGGTGAGGCAAACTCCACTATCGAACAGCAAAAGTGTAAAGGTCATGAAAAACGTGATCGACCTCTGATTTCGAAATAAAAGCGAAATGAAAGTTCTACGTACTGATCCAGTTTTCTCAAATTGGGTTAAATTTAACAAAAAAAAGTGTCCATCATAAATTGTTCTACAAATTCAAAGAGCTTTAAGGCCATCTATTTTTTCGAAATTTTAAAGTTGAAGGCGCCTGAAAAAACAAGGCAGTTTTCAGTTTCCTTGCGTTCATTTTTCTTTGCAACTGTTAGTTGACTATGTTAGTTATGTATATGACGAGGAAAATTTCGAGCGTTCATAAATAAACCAAAATGTACCGCATGTGCTCACAATTTTGTATCAAAGTTTTTGAAATGTTCAACCACCATTGTGTTTAGGGCGAGGCAGTGGTAGCAGATATGCCAGGATGGGCACTCTGCTTCTGTTTCTTCCTAACTTTCATCTCTCTTATCGCAATCCCAGTGGCAGCTGTGTGGCACCACATGCTTAAATTACCAGCTGTCATTCCCTCCTACTTCCCTGAGGAGGAACTGAAAGCACAAAACCCAATTCCAGATAACTTCATGGGCTCACAAATTGAACTGATTCTCTTCTCCAAGTGAACAGCATGAAACGAGTTGCCAAAGCAAAATGACTTCTGAACGAAAAACAGAAAAATGGACCATCCAAAACAGTAAAGCAAGACTAATTTTATTGAGACAACAGGATAATGTTTCAAAGTAAAAAAAATTAGACATTGAAAAAAGAGGTCCGATATGTAAAGACTGATTATGCCGAATAAGAATAATAGAGCTTAGCTGATGACACCTTTCTAAAATATCGGTCTTCTGGTATTGGGCTCCAAATTAGATGGCTATTAAATAGAAACTATATAAATATAAAAATGACGATTATCACTTCCTTACCCTCGTAATCACTTGACCCTCGTAATCACAGTTTTGCATACCTTTTGCTTTAATAAATTAGAATTTCGCGATTCAGTACATCTAATCAATGTATGCGTAAATGTGCTAAACTTCACATATATTTATCCGAATATCTGTTTTGTTGTCTATTTTATTTTCTCCTTGACTTAAATTGCGTAGAAGTAATTTAACCCTCAGTCAGTCTTGAAAAGCTGCATTGTAGATCGCTTCCATATATCTTAGACTCGAGTGCGTATGTATGAACTCAAATGTAGATACTATCTGCTGTAAATTTTATTAAGAACGATATTCATTCTGTATAATCTTGCAATAAAACGGTAGAAATAAACTTAATTTAATTCCTTGTAAAAACGTGTAGTCTTCTTGTTATCCTTGTATCCTAACTAGATTAGAATAAATATATTCTATGCTGTTCCTTTTCAATCTATTGTCACTGAAAAATTTCCTAGTGTTGAAGATGTACAACATTTCAATTTCCTGTCGATAGAGGATCTGCGAACTAGGTGGTTATTGCAGCGCTTAGAACAATGATCTAAAACAAAATCACAGATTGCATAAAAACCGACCGTTTTTTCTACGAAGTTGAAATAATTCCTAGCACTTGAAATTTTCATGCAGCTTTTGTGTGCCTTACTTAGCTGTAACCTTACATTTTTTTCAAAGAACAAAGGTCGCGTTCCAATTTTAATTTATTTCGCGTTATGACTTTGATTTCATAAGAAATTCAATTAAAATTTTTTGCTAGAAGGAAAGCAGTTCGGCTACTAACTACGAAATAAATATTGGAAATCTGATTGATTTTGTTTTCAGTTTTCTCTTATTGAATTAGTTTCATGAAAAAGTTTTAATCATGTAGTGTTGCAGATGCTGAGAAAGCTCTTACTTCAACGATTTTTTTCACAGTGATACTTTGCAACTTGCTAAGTTAACGGCAGTCACAATTATAATTAAGGCGATTTATTCACAAGGGAAAGGACTTGCTAACAATTACATGGTGTTTTTGGCAGTTTTTTCTGGTCTGTAATGTTACCTCACTCAAGCAACGAGCATGGATGATAGTAGGCCTCCAACATCCGACCTTTCGGTTGGGGTGGAGACGTATCCTTTCACCTCTGCTCACACAATCATGTAATTTAAAAAAGCTTTAAGGTGATATATTTTTCTTCAAAACTCAAAATTTAAATTTATTGAACATATGTCAATCAATTATTTTCGGTTTCTTCGAGGCCAATGGCTAGTTTCCAACTGTCTGCTAGCAATGCTATATAGTCATAAAGTCTGTAGAATTTGTTTTTCGGCTTTGGATGAAGTCTTGATTGACATCAAGTATTGTTTAAGAATCGATGAATTTATATCGACCCTTATTTACGTCGTGATTTTTTTCGTTTTTTTTCAGAATCAGTATTAAAAAGCTCTGATAACAAAAAAAATAACTTCATCCTTGTAAATGCACATGAAAACCCGTATAAGCACTTTTTGGTTTTAATTCAAGTTCATTTGCTAGAAAGTAGGCAAAATTCTGTCGGATGGCTATTTTCATTTTTTAAGGTTTTTGGGTGAGACTCATAATCTCTCATATACTCATAGGTTGCAGATCGAATCCGAGACGTAGCCGAAGTTTTACTAATTTTAATATTGAGAGGCTTATTTCTACATTTTTATTGCACTTTTTAGAGCTGCTTCCTGTCGTGTTTTCGTTAGTGTACGCGAATCACAGCTTTGCCTCTTTGTAAAGGCGTAGTTGGTTTCACTCAGCTTGCCTGCTGGCTGACTTGTGAGTCAAACAAGTTACAATGCTTGAATTGAAATGAAATTTCGCAAAGTTTGAGCCTCGCAAGGAAATCTCGGAAGGTTCCATTGGTATTACCCTGTTGGCTATGTTATCAAAAGTCACAATTTTGTTTAGGGCAATTTTTTCACCACTGGAAGGACTTGCTGAAAAATATATGGTCTTTTTTGGCAATTTTTTCTAGTTTATGTAAAGTTACCTCACTCAAGCAACAAGCATGGATCATAGTAGGCCTCGCACATCCGACTTTTCGGTTGAGGTGGATACGTATCCTTTCACCTCTGCTCACTCAATCATGAATTTTCAAAAGGCTTTATTGTGATATATTTTTCTTCAAAAATCAAAGCTGAAAACTACTGAAAATCCCTGAAACAGTTTTTTCGGCTTCATCGAGGCCAGTGACCAGTATTCAACTGTCTGTTGGCAATGTTATATTATCATAAACTTTTCGGAATTTGTTTTTCGGCATTTTTTGAATTCAATTCAAGTTCATTTGCTAGAAGGTAGGCAAACTGCAGTTTCAAGTTTATTTGCTAAAAACTAAGCAAATTTCTGTCTGATGGCTATTTTCAGTTGTTACACTTGCGAGCTTGCAAGTGTTAGTGTATTAGTACGATCCTTTTTTTCTAAGCAAATTCGCAAATAAATTTTTCCTTAAAATTATTCACTTATTTGGTGGCGCCTTTGCTATAATCTAGATCTGTAGCATTGGAAATTTCATAGCATCTGTTCTCTGCTTAATTTGTGGTCAGTGTCATTTAATAAGCGTCCGTGGCTGAAAGGTTTTTGTCTGAGACTCATAAGGTTCTATTGGTATTATCCAACTTCCTTTTGGTTGTGTTAAGTTACGAATTTGAATACTGTTTTTAGTACAGAATTCACTTTTTTGCCACTCGTGAGGCGACCTTCGATACCTCGTTACACACCTGTTTTTTTGGTAGTAACTCTGCAGTTTATTTCATTAACCTTAATCAAGGTCATTCAGCGGCTTATGTCGAGCGCCACGTTGAACGTGGTCACTCTCTTGTTTATTTACATCTATGTTAGATGAAACCATTTTCCTTGCCGTTATACTCTCGGTTTGAAGACAAACCGTTAAAATACTAAATTGATACTGAGTATCTAACTAAACTACTTAACTTAACCAATTTTTAAACCAATAATTAATTTACATTTATTTACACAACTAAGTTTTGGAGTAAAAAAACTCGGCAAATGTCATGGCGCAGCCAGCAGTTCCTCTGAGCGAAAACAGGACTGAACTGTTAGGGATCCCTCCCTTCTGGGCAAAACCATCAATTAACCCGCCGTTTCTTGGGGAGTCTTGGATTGGCCAATTCTTTCTGGCAGTCGGGCTGAAAGACAACATAAATTCACAAGACCTTCTATCAGAGCCTGTGGAGATCCAACCCCCTCCGAAACCAGAAACAATCACTACTGGGGAAGATGCAGCGGAGGCCAATGCTCGCATCCTTAGAGACCTCGTTACATCGTTCCTTGATTTTCCCACTAATTGTGAAACGTTGTTTAAAGTAGAACGGGATTACACAGTTGAACGAATGAAGCTGTACAATACCATATTCATGCTCGATAACGACCTTTTTCCTCGCTTACGCTCGGCTCAGTGCTCAAATCGCATTTTGTAACTCGCCCAATTCTCAAGCAAGGGAGACACTTAAAGACCTCTTCATTGGAAGAATTCGAGATTTAGATGTTCAGCAACAGCTTATTAAAGCCAAGACAGATCTCGATAACACTTTCAAACTCGCGTTGGAGTGTGAAAAAGGGGTTAGCACGTCAGCCCAATTTCAGTAGCTACTTCCTCGTAATCAATATTCAAACACCATTTAAGTTTAATAAGAACCAACTTTTTCAATTCAGTCGTCCAGAGGGAAACGTAATTATCCTCAGAATCAAATGAATCGTCAAAATAACCAAGGTAACCAAGCGAGTAAACCATGCTACTTCTGCGGTAACCCTTTTAGTCAAGATCACCGGAAATCTTGTCCAGCTCGGGAAGTTACGTGCAAAGTGTTGCAATTCGTCTAAATGAAGGGTGAACTTGATCCAAGAAGGTGAGGAAACGTCAAATCATGCGTTAGATTGTAACTTCATAGATGTCGAACATGATAGTGAACCGGAGTACGGTGTCTTCCAGATAGAGAATGCAATATAGATCGACAGCATTGAAGTACTTAAATCAATCGGAGGAAAACCTAGGAGCCTCAGCATTCAACTTCGGTCAAGTTCAAGTTTCTTTTACTCCACGATCGATACAGGAAGTCCGGTTTCGTTCATCAATAAACGAACCTTTGATCTCTTGGTTCCGCGTAACCCTTCCATTAAATTCCGAGATGTTGCAAGGCACCATATTGAAACCATGTACGCGGACTACAATAAGCGTCCCATTAGACTCTTAGGCTCGATCACGATTCCTATTTCTTGAAATGGTTTGAAAGTTGAAGATGCCAATTTCCTCATTTCCGAAAATCGAACTCGTAATCTTCTAAGTCTGGATCTTCATGATAAGTTGGAAGTGGTAAAAACTCAAATGCTGGCTCAACCTATTCATCTGCTCAAAGATACGTCACAAGATCCGACATCGGAGTACTGGAGCTCGTATTTTGCCAAACGATACGCTCATGTTTTTAATCGACTGGGCAGATCTAAACATCACAAGACCTTCTTGTGAAACATCACAAGACCTTAGTCTACACCAACTTCAAATTTCCTCTTATTCCTTGTCATTTCTAAGGTTGAAAAGTTCCAATACACATCCAAGACAGAGTTGCGAAAGAAATTAAAACACTAGAGGAAAGGGGCCATATTGAGAAACTGGATAAGTGTACGACAGACCACTTTATTGCACCCATCGTGGTGACAGCTAAGAAGGATGTTTCAATCAAACTTATTCTTAACGCCAAGTCTATGAATGCACAAATCTGGAAAAAGAGTACCAGATACCGAGTATACACAAACTTATTGACTCGGTGGCACAAATCATTACGGAGAACGTTCCTGGAAAGGTGTGGTTCACATCGTTGGACTTGAAGTACGCTTTCAGTCAATAGCCCTTGTCATCTCTTACTCGTAGTCATTGCAACTTTAACATTCTGTGTGGCGAGGCAACTGGGACGTACAGATTTAAAACAGGACTTTATGGCTAAATCGATATGCCAACTGAGCTCTAAAAGGCAATGAATTGCACCTTATAGGGTATCGATGGTGTCATTTGTTATCTAGACGCTATTTTGGTGGTCACGAAAGGAGATGTCCAGGATCATAATACTCCTGTAGAGGTGGTGATGGAGAGACTTGATGCTGAGGGCTGGGCTTTAAATTTCATTAAATGTGAGTTTTCAGTTAACTTGGTTGGGTTATGAGATCAATGAGCAAGTATACTCTCCTAAATTTTTGAAAATTGAAGCGATCGAATCACTCAAGCCTCCTAAAACTTTTAAAACAGCTACCATCGCTTATGGTTTCTTTGAATCATCTGCAGCGTTTTATCCCAGATTTACACACTTATACAGTGCAATTTTGGCAATTGTTAAAATCTTGTAACAAGCAGTCGTTTATGTGGGGAGAGGAACAAGATAATGCCTTTAAGAACATCATTAACTCGGTCCCAGCCTTTTTTCACTATGATTCCTCTAAGAAATCGAGAATAAAATGTGATGCTAGTCATAATGGATTAGGGGCTTGCCTTGGGCAGTTTTCTGAATAATGCGAAAGGAAAGTATAGTACAAATGAAACGGAATTGTTGGCAATCGTCTGGGCTTGTGAACATTTTCGAGGAAATCGCTTTCAAGTACTGACCGATCATAGAGTTATAATTTCTGCCTTAAATGAAAATTATAATAACAGTTCTTATCAATCTCGTTTGTCACGGCGGGCCGACAGGTTATTACCCTTCGATTTTGAAGTTGTTTATGTTCCTGGGGTTACGTTGGGCATTGTTGATTATCTATCGTGTTACCCTACGTTTTCTGCCCCCAGCCCTCTCAATACAATGAGCTTTTTGTTGTCAAATCTATTGAGGCTTTCAATAAGGCCGTAAATTTTTTTAATTGCGCTGGCTTTTCTCAAAATAGGTCGTCTGGGTGTGATTTTCTTCCGCACGAGGGCGTCGACTTTATAACAAGGCATCGTCACATCCACTCAATTCAGCGTCATTTTCCGGTAGGGGGCGTCGATATATGCACTCAGCAGTTTGACCAATCATATCAATCATGCAAATTCGCAACTCTAAATCCTCATCGATAGAGGGCGTCGAGTTATGCTCGGAGCGTGTCAACCAATTAAATACCAGTATGATAATTCAAAATCGTAGTCTGGAAATTCTCACTCAAAATCATTGTCTCCGACCTGAATCAATGCGAAACAGTCACTATCATTATTCTATACTCTCTAATCAAAAACCTAATCTTCTAAATCTCTACCCTTACGTAATGAATCAGCCACCAGATACAGAAAATGAACATAATAATACTATTACTAATGGTTCTATTAACTCTAACACCATACTAAACTAAACGGCCGAACAGACTGACTTACTAACTTTCATGGAGAACTTCGCTACGATCCCGCCAGATGGGCAGGGTGTCCAGAATAGATCAAATTCGCCAGCACGACAAGACACGAGAGCGGGCTGCCAGAACCCGGTTTGTTGCCGCTCGGATTAACTCTTGGAAAGAAGGGCATGCCCAGTTGCTAGAGGCGATGCGGAGGTCCCGGCTATCTAAACCGGGGAAACTACACACAGCTAAAAAGATTGGAGTCTTCGCCGTGAATGGAGGAAAGCCGATTCTGCTCAAATCCCGAAAATACATAGTGGGTTTACCTATGGCCTATTCGATGCAGATCTTGTGGCCGAACTCACAAAGGAGGATAAATTTTTGGGGCCCCATGAAACGCGCAATCATTAACAAAGACGTGACGTCCTTTAACAAGTTAAGGTCCTACATAGCCCAGTTTTGGACCAAAGCTGCGGTAGTTAACGAGTGCGTGATTTTCGACAATAAATCAGCAATCCCGGCGATGATGTCGGCCTCTGAATACCTTTGGTGGCTATTCCTTAACCGACAGATTGTCGATACGTGCGAAAAGTGCCGTGAATGCACGTTGTATGATAAGAATTTTAAATCTACTAAAACGTTTAATAGGGCGCAATCTTTACCTAATCTGTCTGGTCTTAATCAAGAACTTCAGTTAGATTTTGCTGGGCCTATCTTGGATTGTAAGGGCAAAAAGACCTTCCTCTTATTTGCTATTGACCGTTTCTCTAAATTTCCCTCGGTTCTTATTACGAAAACTACGGATGCGAAAAAAGTCGTGAATTTTCTGGATTCTTATATACGTACTCATGGTCTACCTCAATCTATCAGGGCTGATCACGGGTCTGGGTTTAAAAATGACATGGTTAAGCAATTTTGTTCTAGTAGAGGCATCATTCATATTCTATCACCGGTTGGAGATCACCGAGGCAGTGGTCTGGTTGAGTGTTCAATACAAACTATTGAGCGTAAATTGGTTACTGCAAAACTCGATCCAAATTTTGTTAATTTAGTAAGAACGATTCAGCAGATAGTTCAAGATATACGCAAATGTAAGCACGCTGTACTTAACAAATCGCCTGTAGAGCTACATTTTGGTCAGAAACCGAAAAATGAGTGGTCTCAAGCTTATCGTAATATTGTTAATAATGCTTCTTCAGCTAAAGGACTCGAACGTAACCTACTCACGCCGGATCAGATCGC